ATGCCTTAGTTCGAAAATCTTTGCATTTCCTTAGACTCCCCTATCATATGTATTCCACACTTCCCACCACCCAGTAATTTCCTTCTCTCAGTTCACACTCATTTTCTTATATTGTCTTGCTCTGTTCACCCTGGTGATTACATCATCTCATTCCTACCTATCTACCTGTGACTTCAATTTTCTCTTCTTTTTTATTTTTTTTCCATTCTCCTCCCTTCATTCCTTTATATCCTGTTCTCTATCATTCCTTCTTAAATGTTTCACCCTCCTCTTAACACATTGCTTTTTATCATTAATCATGAATGTCCTCCTATGCCTTACAGTACGTACATGTCCATTACTTACTGACAGTTCATAACAGAGACATGAATGACCATCCAAGCAGTGGAAGGAAACCTGTATCCTAATGCCCTTTATGTATTCATCCTCTCATTTACAGGCCCGCCCTTCTTGTGATTATTTCCTTGTTCTTCCTCTCCTTTATCATTACTTTCACTATTTCACCTTTAAGAATAGATACACACACCAACACCTACAGCACAGTACTTCTACAGATACAAACACATCATCGCCACTTCTCAATCAGCTTTGTTTCATCAACCTTGACCCACAAATACACGACTCACAGTTACATCATATTACACCACATCACCATAACCTATACCTACACCACGTCACCATCACCTATACTACATCACCATCACTTACACCACATCACACACACCACCTCACATACTCCACGTCACCAACACCTACACCAAAAAACTCAGAAATTCTAGATGTGGGTTAGGACAAATGATGAGCAGGGCAGAAGGATGTATGCCAGATCCAGGAACCAAGAAAAGTCAGTGAAGAAGGGCTGAAAAAGAGTTCCAGAAGCGGATTGTGAGCGAGGTCAAGTCATTCCCAAAGGCGTTTTACCGCTACGCAAAGTCAAAATTAAAAACGCGAGTTGGCGTATCAAACCTATGAAGATGGTAGTTATGCAGATTCTCACCAGGACAAGGCGGAGGAGTTGAACAGTTTCTTTTCCTCGGTGTTCACATGATAGGATGCCGAAAAGAGAGCTCAGGTTCTCAACTGGCTCAGCCATGTTAATATTGTTATTATTATCCACCCCGTAACTGTGTTTTTCTGGCTAAATAAACTGTTTCAATTCAATTCAATTCAAAACAATCTTCCTGTGTTTGAGGATAGACGGTTTGACACAGCGCTGACCCACATTCTGTTCCAGAAGAGAGTATAAGAAATAAATTGTCAAAGCTAAAGGTTCATAAAAGTCCCGCCCCTGACATGGTGCTTCCCAGAGTGCTAAGAGATGTGCAACGAGCTTGCTGAGCCCCTGAAGATCCTGTTTTGTAAATGCCTGGATGAGCAAACGGTCCCAATTATTGGAAAATAGGCTATGTAAGTCCTACATTCAAGAAAGGCTATCGTCACTCCACGAATAATTAGAGACCAGTGAGCCTGACCAACATAGTGTGTAAAGTACTTGAGAGCATTATAAGAGATCGCCAACACGGTTTTATGCCAGGACGCTCCTTCTTAACACAATTACTCAAGGTACTGGATGTTCGGACCCAATTTCTGGAACAAGGTGGCAATATCAACAATGTGTACCTAGATTTACCCCATGAAAGGCTGGGAATTAAACTGGATGGGGACGGGATTCAGGGAATTGTCCTCGCGTGGATTGTAGACTTTCTGCGTGACCGCAAACAGTGTGTGGTCATTAAGGGTACGAAATCAATATGTGTACCCATGACAAGCGGGATACCAAAGGGCAGTGTATTTTGTCCGTTGTTTGTTTGTTTGTTTGTTTCATAAATGACATACCAGAAGCAATACACTCCTCCATTCAAATGCTTGGGGATGATGCCAAGTTGTTTGGGAAAATTAAGAACCAAACGGAGTGTGTAGAGCTGCAGAATGATCTTTGTAAGCTTCAAGAATGGTCTGAGAATGGCTGCTATGATTCAATGTCACGAAGTGTAAGAGGATGCACCTGGGTTGTACCAATGGTAAGGAGGTGTATCATATGTCCCAATGGGGCGAAGAAACTGCATTAATAGAGACCGAATGCGAAAAGGACTTGGGTGCTTATGTTGACAACGAACTGAAGTTCTCGGGCCATTGTGAGAAGAAGGTGAATCAAGCAATAAATTAATAGGTCTGATAAGAAGGTCGTTCAGAAGCTTAGACGGTCCTTCTCTCATAATGATCTTCAAGAGTGAGGTGCTTGCCCGCCTGGAGTATTGTCAACCCATATGGTCCCCGCAATATGCTAAGAACTGTCAGTTAATTGAAAATGTCCAAAAGAGGGCCACCAGACTGGTGCCTGTACCTTGGCACCTCGGCTATCCAGAGAGATTAAAATGCCTGCAACTGTCTAGCTTATACTATACAGATGGGCAAGGGGTGACCTAATTGAGATGTACAAACATCTCGATCGGTCGAATGTCCATACCTGGAGCAGGCGGACGCCTGCCTCAAGGGGTCACAGCTCAAGGTTGAAGATGCCACATGTCCAGAAAACTGTGATGGCAAACTTTTTTTAGAGTGAGAATTTTGAACTCTTGGAGCAACCTGCCAGAGAGTGTTATGGCAGAAGTGAGTGTGAACTGTTTCAAGACCAGACTTGACCAACACTGGAGCAGGTTCAGATACATTCAGGAGCCAGTGCATGCCCAGCACTTGCCAAAGCAGCTAAAGTCAATCAGTGGTGAAGAGCATGAAAGAAAAAAAAAAATATATATATATATATATATATACAGTATATATATATATATATATATATATATATATATATATATATATATATATATATATATATATATATATATATATATATATATATATATATATATATATATATACAGTACAGTCAACCCTCACTTTACGCTGTCCTACATTCCGCGTTTACCACGGTGCCCTGCCAGAACCCAGGATGCTCACATTCCGCGGTGGGTGTACCCCTTTACACGGGTGAAGTATAATTTTTTTATTTAGCTCATAAAATTCATATAAATTATCCGGCCAGAATATAATTTACATTGCTGGAATTCTTACAATTTGATGATCATTTTGAATATAAACATCATAGATTTTGCATTAGACATACAAATTTTAGATATAATGTTTACTCTGAGTAAATGTGTTATCTTTTGTGCAAAATATATGACATTTATATTCAAAATATTCCTGGTCTTACAAGGAATCCAGCAATGTCAATTATATTATTCTAACTTTAGTCTGATTTATTATTTATTACTAAAAAGGTAAACAGTCTGGTATTCCCACACATTCAACTGGTAGGGAGGGATGGTGAGGGGTGGGAGGGAGGGAGGGACCGGCGACCGACCACCTGGCACCAGGGTGTGAAGAATATTTTTTTTTTTATTAACTGAAGATATTTGTTTTAGCTCATAAAATTCATACAAATTACCCGGCCAGAATATAATTTACATTGCTGGAATTCTTACAATTTGATGATCATTTTGAATATAAACATCATAGATTTTGCATTAGACATACAAATTTTAGATATAATGTTTGCTCTGAGTAAATATGTTATCTTTTGTGCAAAATATATGACATTTGTATTAAAAATATTCCTGGTCTTACAAGGAATCCAGCAATGTCAATTATATTATCCTAACTTTAGTTTGAGGTATTATTTATTACTATACCTGGTTTTCCCCCCAAAATTTCTCAGAGAGGGAAGAGCCAGGGAGTGTAGTGTGAGAAGAGGGGGAGGGAGTTGAGTCCATTATTTGAATGGACATTAACTTGGTGACTGTATTTCTCTATTTCTCTTAAGTATTAATTGTGTGCATGTACCATCATAAAATTAAGATGTTATTTTTACTATAACATAGGTATTGTGTTGGAAAAAGTGGAGTTTGGGGGTCAGCTGGTCTCTATTTCATTTAATCCCATATGTTATGTTATTCACTTTACGCGTTTCTCACTTTTTCTCACTTTCCGGGTACCCTGTGGGTTACATTAACCGTGTAAAGTGAGGGTTGACTGAATATATATATATATATATATATATATATATATATATATATATATATATATATATATATATATATATATATATATATATATATATATATATATATATATATATATATATATATATATATATATATATATATATATATATTCTCACTACATCACCAAAATCTACACCACATCAGCAGCAACTCCTGACACGTGTTGATAATTACCACAAAGGTTATCTTGTATTGTCTTTGCCTTACAAGCTAAAGTCAGTACTGTACTGTTGTAATTTTCCTGTTGGTGATGCCATTATCATACAGAAGGTTTATACTTGGGTTAAGATTGAGCTCACGTAAGCATCCATTGTGAATGATACTCAGGGCTTGCCTTTACTGTACATGAGAGCTCCCAAAATATCATCAAAGTGTGTGGTCTTCGTGTGTGTTTGCCAGATGTTTGACAAAAGGATTCCCGTACAACAGTGATTCAGTTGGCTTCACCTTGTCAATAAATTTATATAAAAAGAAATTTATACTTTTGGAAAGTAATTACATTGTGAGAATCCTTTTTCATACATTCCTATATTCAGTATAACATAATGAAGATATTTCTGCATTAACTTTTGAAGTTTTTAGATACCTTGTTATTTCTTAGTATAATTTTAGTGGATACTGTTTACTATATTTAATCTTAATATAAGTAAACTGAGCTTATTTGCCCACTATGAAGAAAATATTTGCAATAATTATATCTACCAGTGTGATTGTGTTTTTTGGGGTGGGTATATGAGCGTTGTATGGGAGTGCATTTGGGTTCCCATGGAGGAGAAAACCTGTGCATGTGTGTGCGTGTATGTGGTAGGAAGTGGTTGTAGTACATATGATCAAATCTAGCTTTTGTGTAACATTGTAGATATGGGCAAAGTGATAGATATCTTTTCATGCATCATATCCTCTAAAAGGTGGTACTGAACTCATGGTCTGTTCCTGCAGGTGCAGTAATGGATGGGGCAGGGACGCTGCTGTTGGTCCTCCCGTGTCCTCTCATCCTCCTCCACCTCCTCTGGCGGACGGAAGCTTCACAAGATGTCACACTGAACTCCTCCTGACTATGTGATAATATCGCCGACAACGCAGTGTTTAGTGGATATCGTGATTGTTAAATGCTGCCGCTCTCAATCTCCCGTGTAGTTGGTCGGCAGTAACAAGACTATCTGGGCGAGCGTTGGGGTGATGGGGCCTCGTGTGGCGCTGACCTCGCATGACCCAAGACTTACTATCCGTTCAGTTGACCTATTCAGCGGGTAAACCTGCCTTTCCCTTCCTTTCCTTCTCTCCCACCCCTGTCCTCATACCTCTCCTTCCTTTCCCCCTTTTCTTCGATCCCTAAGCCCAGTGCTCCTCACTGAGTCGAGCCTCTGCCAGTCCACTTATGTGGATATGCCAGTAAGTTTGGCGATGTGGAGTCTTTTGCATTGTATTTCAGTAAGTCCCATTTTCTGTTGGGGAAAATAATATCTATGATAATGGTCCCTACTGAAGTTCCATTCAATTGGGCACATGCTGGTCCAGGCATGCACACCATGAGCACCTGTACGGTCATAGGTGTAGCTACCTGGAATAAAAGAAAGGCCTTGACAGGTAGCGATATAGTTGTAGCTGTCAAGACCGTTAACCGCACAAAGGGTCCACCACGGGTAACATGGGTGCAATTAATAGAAACGCGGGCGTGCTAATTACAGTGATCCTTCCAGTACGATGGACGCGGGCATAAATCGCGGGCACGGACTTGGGGCATAACAGATTCGCCCGTCCCGGTCAGCTCACGTCGAGGCCCCGTTGCTGACTGTGTGGTCGCTGCAATGTTGCTGGTTTAATAATTTAACAACTCAATCAGTAGCTGTATCACTACGTCTAGAGCAGAACCCCCCCATCCTTCAAGTTTCCAGTCCAAGCCTCCCTCACTCTGCTGTGGAACCTTCTCAAAATGTCAGTATCTTCAAGACAACTTTCTTCAAGTATCAGTATCTCTACAACAGGAACTCCTTCTAGCATCTTCGTACAGTATCAATGTCCTAATGCAGAGACTTCATCTCCAAGAATCAATATTTCCTGTAAAGAGTCTGTTGTTCCCAGTTATAAGTATCTACAACAAAAGAGGCACTCTTATAAAGAAAAATACCTCCCAAGACAGGAACTCCTTGAATCTTAACATCTCCAAAGACGAAACATCCCACAGTTCCAATTAAAAAAAGAAGACTTCAAGGTCCCTATCCTCCCCTTATACAAAACTCTCTCCAATCCCCAAGGCAACCTTTCACAAGACCCAAGACAGGTCCTCAAAGTCCCAGTACAGTATATCCAAGACCAAACCCACTCCAATCCGTAAGAGAGAACATCCTCCGGGCCCTAGTATCTCCAAGACAGAACACCTGAGCACCAATACCTCCAAGAAAGAACCCTAGCCCAAACAAAACCTATAAACCCCAAGATTTCCAAGACAAACCTCCTTTAAACCCCCTCATTATCTTCAAAACAGAACCTTCTCCAGGCCCCAATAACTTCAAGACAGGACCTCTTCCAAGCCTCCAAGACAGAACCTTCAGATCTCCAAGGTTTAGTAGTGAGATTCTTCAGTAGGGTAACAGTGTGCCACATATCAGATATTACAGAAAAGAAAATGACTCGGAAAAAACAGCAACATTTGCTTCACTGACCACCAGGGTGTACATAAGAAATATATAGTGCAATATTACTAAGATATAACAATGCCCTCTTAAGTAATTTCATGAGCACGGACAGTGGTTTAAAAGCGTTGTTATATTTGTGTGCGAGGTTCTATATTTTCTTATGGTATTGTATAATGGGTTTTGAAAAATGGCAAATATTTTATTTAGGAGGGCTTGGTATGTTGATGCTCGCAATGTACAAAGTCTCATTCTGGGAATCTGGTGACTATGTTCAATGGGACACTCTCTATGTGTGTATAGGTGGTGGGTGTGTGATGTGATCTGTAGAATGGTCCTCCTCCCCCCCTCCCTCCCCCCCCAGAAACCCATGTAGGTAGTTGTAGGCCAATTTCTTTGGTTATTTTTTGTGACTGTTGAGTGATTCTACTATGTTCTGCCATCCCGTAGTTTAAGTGTGTGCTGTCAGTGTGGAGCCTCACCCTAGATATCTGTGTAGGTGTTGCCAAGCTTGTAGTGCGCGCTAGTCATTCAGTGGGCTTGTAGTGGCCCCGCTGCTGCTAAAGCCGCTGCAGCATGAGCCACGGGACAGTATCGTAGCCTCCTGTAGCCAAAATGCTTAGTGTAAGGCAGTCTTGTATACCGACGGTAGTGTATTGTAGCAGAGCGGGGTCGGACTGGTCGGCGGCGTCGGCGGTTGTGCTCTGCCTCGGCGTCATTAATAACGATTCTTTGGCAGGCCAGACACCAGTGTCACGTGCAGGGCGCCGTGGCCAGCCCTGCCCCCTGCTGTAGCCTACAACTGCTGCCAAGGACTCAGTACCGCCGCTTGCGGGCAGGGGCTGCCCTCGGCCGCCCTCAGCAGGGCGCCCCGCCCGCCCGCGACAAACCACTCTGAACTGCGGTCAGCTTTCACTAGGTTAATAAGAAGAATGTAATATATATTCATAATATAATGATACATATATACTGCATAGGAAATATGCACTATCTATCGTACGTAGGTTGTCCCAGGTGCCGCGTAGGTAGCCGTGTAGCGAGGGCGGGGGCGGCGACCCCCTCTCACCCGCACCACTGGTGAGGGCAGCCCTCGGGCCCCCCAACACCTGCCACGGGGGGCCAGGGAGGCCGCCGCCGGAGGTGTGGGGTCACATACCCTCAGGGGCTGCCTCCCCTCCCTCCTCGCACCAATACGGGTCTAACAGCGAAGGCGGCGGGCTGCGACAGACTCGTTGGGTCGCACCCGGCCCACACCCGCCAGGCAGCCTCTGGAGCCACGCTAGAGAGACCCATACACTCATCTCCCACCAACTGCTCCGGACGCCACTCAAACCTGATCTAGGCCTCAGTATTAACACAAGTATTACAACCGTAAAGTATTGTCAAGTTATCGAGGGCACAAACAAGTGGCATTTGTGCCGAGGCTAGGGTGTGGTCCGGCCCGGCCAGTGCGGTCCCCGTGGGTTGTCTGGACACGAGCGTTTCTAGCCATCACAGGGTGACGGTAGACAACACCTCGAGTCCGGACAAATCCTGCAGCTGAGAGAGCAAGAGGGCCGCAGGTCACTGTTTGTCGTCGTTGTTGTTGTGGTAAGTGGGCAAGAAGCCCCACTGGCAAGTTGTGGTACCGCCTGCCATCCAGAAGGCAGGACAGTCTTGATGACTTTATATGTAACTGTAGTAATAATATTGGTGGTGTTTATTAACAGAAGGCAGAAATCTAGTCAATATTATTTTGTTTTACAGAGTTGATAATGAGAGTATTTTTACATGTGAAAACACTGTCTATTTATTATTTTTTAGTATACACTTAATTTGTGGCTGGTGAGTAATGTGGCAAGTGGCCGGCCGTCACACTCCCGACAGCGTTCCCTCACCCTTCGTCTCCTCAGAGAGCCTAACATGTCGGTACTCTGTCAACAACGACAAACACTAACAGTGGTAAATGAACCCTTTAGGTAACCTTCACATTCAGCTAAAATATATCCTTGAGTCCCACCCATTTTTGCTTAGTCTGCCCTTACTGGATCCAGCTACCAGCCTTCAATGCTGCCCAGACTTGTAAATGAACGTAACCCAATCACGGCCCAAGATTTTCCCCTCCCACTGCCTCAATTTAAAGTATAACAATGGCAGTCTTCAATAGCCTGAACCATTTTTACATGTTCATACAGTGGGTTTGTAAGGGTTTTTTGTCCCCAGGAGTGGGGGCCCTGAGGAGTGTGGCAGTGTGGGCCCTTGTCTCACCAGGTAGGTAAAGGTAGACTCCGGGCGAGGCCGACCGTCACACGCCACCCCAGGAGCACGCAACCATTCGTTCCACGTTCCGTTCCTTGATTTTCCCCACGGGTGAAAGTTCTATTTTTAGCACAGAGATGCTCAGAAAGCAAAGGATGATTATGATAACCTTATTAAATGTTTTAATTTTCTGGGATAAAATCCTCTACATACAGTTATCAGATTAGAGTTTTTATACTAATGAAAGGTAATAATAAACGAAGATTGCCATTGGGTAATTGTGTTTTGATACCCATATGCTGTTTTACATCCAAAACTCCAATAAACACATGCGTTTACATGTAATTATTATGAAAAATTGAAATTAGATTGTATGGATTTCATTGTGACGTGTACAGCCAGCACAGTAGAGTCCCCCCGAGTGTCACCCAGTACTCCTCCCTACACAGGTCTCAGGTGGTTTGTCCGTGTGACACAACACGCCACTTTATTATCTATGGAAATTCTTAGACAAAACCGCTAGTCATAATGAAATCCAAGCGCCAAAGTATGATTGTATAGTTCTTTTTTACATGTGCGGTCTGTACTGTATTATGCCATTTATACATGAAAGACACAGTTGTTGTAGATATAATATACCGGGATGTAGTAAATGCTAGAGTGGAATAAGAAATGGAACAATTTAAACAATAAAACAATGGATAAATAAGATGTGGTTTTATTACATCAGATGTTGCCCATATTTTGTCACCTGCCTCACTACATACCTTCTGCCTCTCCCTTACCTGCCCCTTCTGTCCAAAGTCCCTTAGTCACTCCTTTATTCAGTATTCCTTACCCCCCCCCCCCACTACCTATTCTGTTTTCCCTTATACAAATGTACTATATTGTAATTGTCTTCCCTTACTCATACTTTTACCTCCTTCCTTATTGAGTATCTTCCCTTCACCATATTGTATATTTTACCATGTACTGTTATTAATTCTCTTGCCTTTCTCTCAAATAGTGTACATTATATCCACTCTTGCTCTCATTTACACCGACCCTTAATTATCTCTCTCCTTTCCTCCCACGCAATCTCAATTTCTTGCTGCAACCTCATGTCCTCATCATTTTTCCTCTAACCAATGTACCTGTCTCCCTCACCATTCCCTACCAGACATACCATTTCGGCACTTACTAATCTTGCCCTTCCTCTCCTCCACCCATCCTACCCTAACTCCATCCCTCCTTCCTTCTATCTATCCTAACATACCTTCTTTTCCTATACTATACTAATTTTATCCCCGCTTCCCCTTATCAATTCTACAGTACCTCCTTTTCCTACCCATCCTACATTACTCAATCTCCTATCCGTCCTGCCTTGTCTTGCCCCTTGCTTACTCATTCTCCTTTACCTTGCTAACAACCAAGAGTAGAAGAAACTGCTGCATTGAATTTTAGATTAAATCTGTGTTGTGTCATCAACATCTTGGCCACACACAAGGTTCCCACAGAGCTAGTGCATGCTCAGTACTTGCCAGCAGTGCATAACAGAGACGTGACCGGCCGCCCAAATGAGTTGATCAGTGGCAAAGAGGATAAAAATAAATAAGTAAAAGTTACTCCTATTTTGAAACCTTCTTAGACTCTGTTGCTCAAATAAACATAAAACAATCTTCACCTCAGTAAAGGATGTGAGAACTATTTGAAGACAAGCTATTCACTGCTAGAGAAAGTACGCACAAACAATTTATCATTGGAGAAAATGCTGCCACAAGAACAAAAGGTCAAAATTAATCAAGTGTATCATAATTCCGTATCAAGGAAAAGTCATTGAGATGTGTTTTCCAGGCAGTGTAAAATGTTGGGAAGTACAGTACTGCTTGAGCTGGCCTCAAATGGAATAGAAAATGCTGTGTTTCATTAATGCAAAGTGCAGCCTTCAGTGCGAAAGGATAATTATGAGTTTTAAATCTTCAGATTATAAAAATGGCTGTTACATGTTTTCAAACCAGATTTTAACAAATGTGATGTAGATGTCTGTATGTATGTATACATTGGTGTGTGTGTGTGTGTGTGTGTGTGTGTGTGTGTATGAGGTCGACTTGCATCCTCACAATGAAGTCACCTGTCATCATCATCACATTTTATGACCATTTTCCACACTTGCACAAGTTAGCCATGATGGTAGCGGTAGCAGGAGAAAACGACCCCAGTCGAAAATGGCCCAAACCAGAACGGCCCCACTCTAACCAAAACGAATCCAGGAAAAATAGTCACATAAAAAGGCACGGAACAAACCTAACCTAAGTTAACCTAAGCTAACCTAACTTAACCTAACCTACGTGCAATGCCATCATATATATATTGTGTTGTCAATGTGTACAAGTCATGTGACTTTTTTCTGTGGACTTTATTTCCGTCCACCACCAAAACGACCCCACCCTGTGACCAAAATGGCCCCACCGTGTTAGGTTAGGTTAGGATGATATTTTTTTCAATTTTTTTAATTTAGGTGCGGCCGTTTTGGTCACAGGGTGGGGCCGTTTTGGTTAGAGTGGGGCTGTTTTCGATTGTAGCCGTTTTGTCTCGAAACCATGGTAGCTCTCCATGCCTGTACGGTCTCTTGCAGCCCCTCTCGTCAGGTTCTCATCTGGGCTCATTTATTACAACCTCTCCCCATGTCATTCTTAGCGTACCCTTAGCTCGCCTCTTCTCTATATTCAAACTCTTGCATCTCTTCACTCAGTTACTTTCCATTCTTTCGACATGCCCGAACCATCACACCCTACCTACAGTATACACAAAACCCAATTACCCCGCACATTACACATCCATCTCATCATTTGCTTATCACCTTGCTCAGGTCTATGTATTATCCTCTTTAACTGCCCATGTTTCAGCTATTGTGTACCAACCTTCAACACTCGCTGCACATTATTGAGTTGCTACCAATACCACACCACATGTCCCGTTTCCCATTTTCCTTCGCAGGTATATTGTGGGGTACGGGATGTTTGGTTCACACTCAGGATGGGATGGAGAAAGGAAACTCACAATGTGCTCTCTGTATACATGTTGTATTGGATGTACAATGCAGCTTGGTGCTGGGAAGTGGCAGCGTGGTTACAAGCGTGATGTAGAGAGAGCTGGTTGGTGAGGATGCTCAGAGGACAGCTTGTGGGTCGCCATGCTCGCCGGCCGGAGCGAGGGCAGCCAGGCAGCGGCGGAGGAGGAGGAGGTGTTGCTTGCTGGTTGGTGTAGGTAGAAAGAGAGGTCACCACGAGGTCAGGTCTTATATAGCGGAGGTAGGCGTGGCTTAATAGTTGACCTCCGCTATGTAAGGCGGCGCTGGTTGACCTAGACCACGAGGCACACACTGGGGAATTCGTGGGGTCGGCCACTCAGCGACAAACAGCGTTTGTAGGGGAGAAATCCACTACAATACTGCCCCCTTCCCTCCAGGCGGTGTAGGAGACTTGTTGTCTGCAGGGTTGCATGGCACATGTGAGGCAGAATGGGCGGTGCATGCCACATGTGAGCCATAACGGCGAGGGCGTGGATGAGCCGGCCGCTAGAGGAGACAACTGTCTAGATACACAATATCAGTGGGAGTAGAGAGGGAGAAAAAGGGTGTGTGGAGGCGATGAATGTTGTGCTTCCCTCACGGCAGGTACAGAGTCGTCAGATGCGCCTGCTGGGGTGTGTGGGCCTGGGTCAGGAGCAGGGGCTGCGTCAGCAGAAGCGGATGAGGACTCGTGACAGCAACTGGGTCTACGACAGCAGCAGGGTGCAGGACAGTAGCAGGGAGTACCTGAGGGAGAAAAGAGGGGTGTGTTGGTCTGCACTCAGGTGCATGGGCCGCGTCGGGAGCAGGGGCTGCATCAGGAGGAGCGGCAGGGGGTACTGCTGGGCCGGGGGCGGCGTCTGAGGCAGGACGGGTGTGCTGGGGTCGGTAGGACGTGGTGCTTGGGGCAGGAAGAGGAGCTGGTGTCTGCTTAGAGTAGCAGTGCTGCTCTAGGGTGTCTAACCTGTGGTTTAGAGACAGTAGCTGTAGAGCCGATGAGAGCTGCTTCTGGGTGGATAAGCCTGTCTTCCAAGTTGCCTGAAGACTGGGAGCGTGATCTGTTTCTCCTCCATCCTGTGTGAGTGCGAATCTCCGGGGGTCACCATGAGGTCAGGTCTTAAATAGCGGGGGTAGGCGTGGCTTAGTAGTTGACCTCCGTGATGTATGGCGGCGCTGGTTGACCCAGACCACGAGGCATACATTGGGGAATTCGCGGGGTCAGCTACTCAGCGACAAACAGCGTTTGTAGGGGAGAAATCCACTACAATATCACTCATGTCACTATCATTACTTTGACTCTCACCACATTCAATCTCATACCCTTTTACTCTATTCTGCCCTTTTATACCTTAATTTCCTCTAATACCTCTTTACGACTATCTGCCATCATTCGGTCGGCAGCATACAACAGCCAACTCCCTAGGAAAACCAATCCTACAATATCGTGATAGTGTCTTCAGCACTTTGATAAATAATCACAAGGGAAGTCAAGACAGACCTTTGGTGAATTCCTTTTCTCACTTCATTTGTATTCTTTACTATTTACTCTTACAGCCGCTCTCTATCCCTCATATTTGCAGGTACTACTGCCTGGGAAGATATTGGAAGCATAATGTGTTGTCTAAAGGTAGACCCTGCTGCCATATGGCATCACAAAAATTGTGACCAAGACCCAGGTTGCTGATTTGACTGACTTTCTGCCTCATTTACACACAATTGCCGGGTCTCAATTGTTTCTCATACCTTGACAACACAGTGTCTTGTTCAAGTGGGTATGGCTTTATATTTTTTCTCTACTGGGATTACCACACCCGACCCACAGCGGGGCCTGGGGAATGAAGAAAAAGACCCATAAATACAAAAATGAAAAGCAATAAATAAAACAGATTAAGACTGAGAAATATCAGTCTTTATCTGTTTTATTTATTGTTTTTCATGTTTGTAATTATGGATCTTTTCTTTTTTCGTCCCCCAGGCCCCGCTGTGGGTCGGGTGTGGTAATCCCCATCGAGAGAAAAAAAATACAATGCCATAACCACTTGAAGAAGACACTGTGATAGCTGTTTTGGTATGACACCAATTGTTTTAATTAAGTTTTGGAACTCTTTATGTGGCAGGGCTTGATGTAAACACTTCTTAGTATTTTCTGTTTATTGGATAGCAGGTATACTGTATACACATATAATCTTAGAGAATAAATTATGAATTCTCTCCAGGGAAGTGTTGTGAATATCAATTTGAGATAACACTTCTGTTAAGTGTGAACTTCCATGTCTAGTGGTATGGAGTGAACTGCCCCCCTCTGGGGCGTGAGAGAGTGGTAGCGAGCGAGCGAGCGAGCGGTGTTTACTGAATCAGCTGACCCTGGCTCGACCCTTGAGTGAGATGCAAGCCAAGTGTGGTCAAGAGTGAGTAACATGGTGAATAACTTGGTGTTATTCATTTGGATGAATATTTATATAAAGCAAAAGTGCTGTTACACAGCTCTGCCACCACCAACTGAGTCTTCATGGTTTAAATCCTTGGTATACTTAACCATGTTACAATAAAGTGTGCTTTAGCTAAATTCTTGCTTCTTACACGTGCTTTTTCAATGCCTTTTGGAAAGTTTTCTTTGAAACTATTGTGTTCCTAGAAGATATTTTCCTGTCACAAAATAT